CCAACTCTGCCTTGTTTCTCTCCATAACTCTGTTTAGATTTCCCACCTAGTTATATTCTGCTGGTCATTGGTCAAAACAGCTTTATTCATCAACCAATAAAAGCAACATATATTCACAGCATACAGAAGGACATCCCACATCAAATGGGTATCATTTGTCCAAAATACCACCTATACCAAGCTCCTCCTTCCACTTCTTTTTATATTCCTTCCAGAATAGTTTTTTGTTAGCATGAAAATCTTGCAGTTTTGGCTATGGCTGATGCTCTTTTCGTGGTGGTAATGGCGGTGATGTCAAAGACAGGACATGCTAGGCAAAAGCTCTACAACTGAACTAAATCCCAGGCAAGTGCTTCACCACCAGACTAAATCCCAGCTTCTTGGAAGTTTCTTCAACCACAGGAGTGACTACCACAAAGTGCTCTAAACTATGCTTTGGAAGTAAACACCTTGTACTCCCAGGGTATTGTGTGTTTAGTAGTGACACTTCTGATCTCAGAGGAAAGGTGACAAAAGATGTGGTAGATGGGAGGGGTGGATGGCAGGTGGTATTGGTGACACTACCAGGTCATACAGTACTTCTAATCTGAGGCTTAATGTTGAACTTGAGGTTTATCTAATGGGTCACTTTAGTTCTGTTACACGTAAAATAGCAAGAAAATAATAATTTGGAAAACAGAATTATAAACATCATTGTGGCTGTTTTAGAAAATATAGTCAAGCCAGAACTGTAATTGGAAAAGGAGGGACCTAATAATTGTTTAATTGGATATTTTTGTTGTTTTTTGTTGTTGTTGTTGTTGTTTTGTTTTGAGATAGGCTCTTTCTATCTAACCCTGGCTGTCTTGGAACTCACTATGTAGACCAGGCTGACCCTGAACTCACAGAAATCAACCTGTCTCTGCCTCTTGAGAGCTGGGATTAAAGGTGTGTTATAGCACTGACAGCTTGGCTTATATGAAGCCTTTCTAGTAACTGTTCACTCCTTTTTATTCTCTTTTATTAAAAACAATTCCTGAAGTGGTAGTGCACACCTTTAATCCTCGCACTTCGCACGCAAAGGTGGGTGGATTTCTCTGACTTCGAGGACAGCTTGGTCTACATAGTTTCAGGCCAGCTGGCACTAAATACTGCAACACTATCACAAAAAGAAGGGGCCTAGGACATTGATCACAGCTATTTTAGGTAACTTGAAGAATGGAGATAAATATCCCCATTCTTATATTTACTCCTTTTGAAAGTTAAATTTATTGAACTAAATTAAGTACAATAAAAGCTAAATTTTCTTGAGACAGGGATTCACAATATAGTACAAGCTGGGTTCAATCATTCCAATGCTGGAGTTATAGCCATGAGTTATAGCCGAAGTCACAAATTGTAGGTGTGTAGTTAAATGTGTTTTAAGAAGCACATGAAGTCTTTGAGCTATCACAGCTGTGACACAGACCCCTTCCTGTCAGCCCGTAACTTTGCTCACACCCACCCACTCATCCACAGGGCCTGGAACTGTGATCTTTTGTAGCCTAGGGTTACTAGTCTAGAGTGCTAAGTTCACAATATTATAAAATGGCTTTGCTGCTTGTAGAGTCATGCAGGTGATGTATGTATCATAGCTCCTCCCATTCTCGTTGGGGTTCTAGGCTCTCTTTGGCTAAGTATCTCACACACTTGATTCATGTAGCAGGTAGTAGCTATTTAGGTTGTTTCCAGTTTTTAGCCACTGTGAATATACTTACTAACAAATTCTTTAACATTATCTCTTGTGTTCTTGTATAATAGGGTTAAATACCAGCTTTGTTAATTTGACCATCAGTAATTGTGAGAGAACCACAGAGAGCAAACCTACTTGGGGGAGGGGTGCTGGTTGAGCTGTCTTCGTGAGATGACCAAGCTACTAGGCTAGTTGGTCTCTCAGCTTTCTCCACCTTGATAGCCTTCCTCCTCATACCTTTTACTCATGGAGTATTAATGCCATCAGTCTATTGTTTATCTTCGTCCAGTTTGAAATCCCTTCCAGAGTCAAGGCCCACTAAGCCATGTTTATTTTTACTAGATACAATGCCTAGTATAACGTCTTGCACAAATATAATGATAAATACTTAGTGGATCATTTGAATTCTTCAGTCTTTTCCTTGGATACCTGAGTGTTTTTTATTAATTCTTTAGGTCCACTATTACATTATCTCTAGTGTGTTATAAAATAAGTTTCCTTGAGCAAAGATAGTTTTATTCCTACCTATGCATTAAAGTCATTCACTATGTAGCTTATGAGTGGATTTCAAATTGTTTATGGCCCTCAGGGTTTTTAAGTTGAATTAGTTTTGGTTTTGCTGTTGTTCAACTCTAAAATGAAAAGGTTACGTGAAAGAAAATGAGATTTCCTTTCATAGCTGATGTCCCAAGATTCCATGAGAAGCTGACCTAATCAGAAAGACTTACACGGGGAGAGGGCAATGGTGGCTGCCGAAGGAGGATGGAGGCAGGAAAACAGCGCGTCTTATCCCATAGAAAATAGCAGGCATGCCTCCTCAGAGAGAGTGGGGGTTGTGGCGAGAGGTCTTTTGTACAGCTTTATAAAGAGAACTCAGTCTGCGATCCTTTCTCTAGTCAGTTCAAAGTGTCACTTAGTAGGCAGCTTCTCACTGCTGGCCTTTGCTGTCATTTATGTTGGGAGCCATTATTCTGTGCTTGTGTCATGCAATCTCTGTTCCATTGCTGCTGGCATTAGGAATTATGCCCCCTGGGCCTTCTCAGATACACGTCCAGCAGAGAGTCTTGTGGCCATTTTGGTTACACACGCCAGCCTCTGTTCTGGACCCTAGTGCTCAGACTCAGCTATGGCTCCTCACTGGCAGTGCAAGCTCTGAAGTCAGCAGCCTGACCTATGTCATGCAATGCTCCTGAGGCTGATCTAGTTGAGCAATCTGTTCTAACCGGTCCAAGAAAGTCTTGCCTGTTTACAGAGGACTCCAGTTCCACCCAAAGACATATCCCCCTTTTGAAGCCTTCCTCTCCTCTCCAACACCCTCCCGCTCCCAGCCCCACAACTTAAGCAGGGTATAAGAAAACCCAGTCATTTTTATATGCACTGCCCACTTTCCATGTGCTGAGCACTGAGCTGGGTTTAGGGTAGTGAAAGCTAAAGATTACAAAGGACAATACATAAAAACCAATAGCAAATGTATGATACCACTATAGGATGGACACAGCACATACTAAGGGCATCCAGGTCTGAATAGTTGATTTGGGAGAGACAGGAGAAAGATGGGCAGGATTTTGAGGTTTTCCCAAGAGGGCATCGTGTAGTGTATGCATCGTGTAGGGGGTTGGGTGGGTGGACCAGGGCATTCCAAGAAGGGATGAAACATGTGCAATGATCCTTAGCCAGAAAATACGTGGTGTGAAGGGGAAGCAAAAGTAGCCTCGTCTGACTATCCATTTGTTGCGATATACTAGTTTGGAACTGAGTGTGAGACAAGACCTTGGACCACATCCAGGGGGGTGTTGTTGTTAGAAGTACCAGAAGGGACCTTATTTCACATGTAGCATGGACCCCTGATGATTCCTTTTGAGTGAGGTGTGGGTGTATTTTCATTCTGGGACTTTGCACTACAACATTGCCACATGCATTGACCAATCTGAGTACAGGCTTTCCTTATGTTGCCGTATAATTAGAAGCCAGTGAACTGAAGTTCCACAGCGGTACATAGACTGGTAGTGATAGCTTTATGGATTGTTTATTTTTAGTTTGGCAAAGGCTAGGCAGTAAATATCTCAATTAGTAAACTAAAGCAGCATGGATGAGAAATGCCCACAAGGAGATCAGGAGTTTGAAATAACTGAGTCACTTAATTGAAGGAAACCCTCACGTTGCTTCTCATAGAGCTTGAAGAACCCACCCAGCAACTGTTTCAAATGTGATTTGCAACATGCGGACAATGTTGGTGCAACAAGGGCCTTGCCCTTGCTCAGACTTGACTTGTTTAGGACGTTCCTCTCTGGACGGGGATGTAGAGTGCTTGACAAGCGCCAAACCCTGGGGTCTGCGCCCAGACCTCACACAGTTGGGAGCCATGGTGCGTGTGTATAACAGCACTCATCAGTCCAAGGTATTCCTCAGCTACATGGCAAGTTGGAAGAGGCCACCCTGCTTACCTGAGACCAGTCTCAACGAAACAACAAAAGGAGTTCTCTTTTAAAGAGATCCACTGGTAGGAGGTTGTCTTCATCCTACAATCCTGTCAGCATGACCCCAAAGGGCAATTTATTATGAAGTGTCCCATTCACAGATTGCAGCCAGACATATGAATGTGAAAGCAGGCACGTAGTGCTGGCCCCTCCTCTCTGGTCTCCTCCAGTAAATTATATCTTACATCTCAGAACAAAACCAGAAGTAGTCTGCAAGGCTTAGCTTTAAAATAAGTTTTGTTGAAACTAAGAACTAAGTCGTGTTCTTCCTAGAATTTCACAGTCTTGGGAATAGTAACCATTCAGAAGGTTAAAGATTAATAATACTACAAAGACAGGAAGGATAGAACAACAACGAAAAGTGTGTGTGCGGTGAAGACGCAAAATACAAGACTGGAAGATGGCTCAGCACTTACAAGTGCTTATAAGGAAAAGCCTAAGGGCCTGACAACCTTGAACCAACTCCTGCAAGGTGTCCTCTGGCCCTTACACCTGCACAATCACACACACACACACACACACACACACACACACACACAAAACCAATTACAAAATACAAGTGTTTAGTAGTTACGGTTTTGTTTGAATTTTTAAAGCTTCACTCTGGAGTCTGTCTGAACCTCTGGTACGAATTGTACACTGTATAGTTCTTTGAATTGTCTGTCTTCAGCAGAGTGGGGGAGAGGAGACTACAGAAAGATTAGCTTCTGCTGCTTTAGTTTACTACCTGTCTGATGTCTGGGGTCTGTGGGGGAATGATGGAGGTTTGTGCACCTGCCGATTACGTCTCTGTCTGTTTCTCTGTTCTGCAGACTGGAAAAAGATAGCATTCAGCAAAGCCTCAGTAACGAAGCAAAGGCCCAAGCCCTTCAGGCCCAGCAGAGAGAGCAGGAGCTGACACAGAAGATACGGCAAATGGAGGCCCAGCACGACAAAACTGGTGGGTGGTAGGGAGAGATTAGAGCCTGGGCACTTGCTCACAAGCCAGGCCCACGCCTTACTGTGAAATGACATCAGGAACACCTGTAACCTTTGGCTGGCCGAAGGGAGCAGATGCTAACTACACCGGAGATTCCGAATTACATATTAGTTAGCGTTTAAAAGAGAAAATGGAAAGTATTGCCCACTGTCTGTTGATTTCAGAGTGCTGCTCTCACATCTGTTGCACCATCTGGATTATGAGTTTATTTACCTGTGTTCAAGAAACGTAAAGCTGAGAGAGACCACAACAAAGTAGAAAAACAAAGGGCTTGTTTTTGGCTGGGTTTTCAGGCACACATGTTATATAAAGAAAATAGCATCAGAAGCTCTGCGGGAAATGCTCTGAGCTTACAGTTAGAGTCTCCTGAATAGCATTGAACAGTTCCCACAGTACACACATTATAGCTACTCTAAAAGCCTAATGAGTTTGCTTCAGCATCCAAACTAGAGAAAAGCTTTAGCCATTAATCGGTTCTTAATTCACTGTCGCAGCTGGATGTAATTCAGTGGCTCCAAATTGATATGTTCCTTTATTTAATCTTTGCAGCTTCGAACATTTTTAGCATTTGTATGATTTCCCCACCTCCCCCAATGCAGTCGAGAGTGATGCTTAATCCTCTGCATTCTTGAGCTTCTCACAACTGCTGTTAAAATTCACTAATACAAGGCATTGACCACAGCTGGCAGCTTGGCTAAAAATCGCCATCTTTCATCACGTTGGCACTGTTCTGCAGACTGAGTTGGCCAGTAACTCTTTACCTTTAATTTGAAAGTAAAATGCACTTTGAAAATAGGCAGTTTGATGTGTGCAGTCAGAGCGTTATGTAGCTCTTTCGCTTTTGAGTTGTGTGTTCACAGACAGTGTTAGTCAAAACAAGACAGTGTCAGTCATTATAATTCCACACCACATACTCCACGCTGATTGTACCATTAAAACAAAAGTTTAATTGATCCTGTCTCCTCCAGAAAAAAATGTTGCTTCATTTTAGTGCCTTGATTTATTTTGCTTTATATGCTATATACTTTTCCTCCCAATGATTAGCTGAAAAGGAAAAAAATTACTTACAGATGAATTTCATAGGATTTAATGCATATTGTATTTAATTGTATGGTAAAAAATGATTCTGCCTATGGACACTGATCATTAATGATTTACTTGCTTTTTAAATGATTTATTTACTTAAAAAGGCAGCTATCATGATGCCTCATGTAGAGTGTTTCTTCTCAGCAGTTAGCCAGAAGAAATGAAAATTCTCTGGATTTTGTTTTTTTACTAAAACACAAAGAGAAATTCATGGGAGAAATTGCCATTTGGGCCCACTGCTAACAGAATCATCCTGGTCCGAGAGTCTTGGGCAGAATTTGATGGTTGGGTAAGGTTTTAACTGTTAAAAATCATCTTTAAGATCTTTTATTTTGCAAATACACACAAATCACGGTCTCTTCAGTCCCTGGTTGGAACTTTATTGAAACAAATTCCATTAAAGTATTATCAAGTTTTTAAGGACAGTTGTGTAATTTTACCTCATAACTGGAGAATATGCAGGCTTCAAGAGGGTAAAATATGAGATAAGAAGTGTTGAGCACCAACTACAGTATAACAGAGAATTCCTCGGTTTTAGTTTCGATTTATCTGGTTGTGAGAAATTTTGACACTGTTTATAGTAAAATTGTCAAAATAAAAATATAATATCTTGCACGCTTCAAAGATACAAGCATTTATGACTTCATTTGAGATATTTGACAGTTTATGAGCATGCTAAAATGTTACACAAGCTGATGCGATCAAAATTACTCTGGGTGTACAAGTATATTGTGAAAAGAAGTGTCTCCCAGACTCAGTGTCCTTTCACTTAGGACACCGGCAGTGGTCTGGTGGCCGTGCAGTGATCTGAAGTGCTCGGCACAGGACATGGAAGGCAATGCAGAGCAAAGCCACAAACACCTCGTGTTGATGGGGTTATTGTTATTTTCTAGAAAATGAACAGTATTCATTGCTGACCTCCCAGAATACATTTCTGACAAAGCTAAAGGAAGAGTGCTGCACATTAGCCAAGAAGCTGGAGAAAATGTCACAAAAAAGCAGGTAGGTGATCAGGCAATATTATACAATATCCTCAGAATACTGTTTAGTTGGTAGCTAAAATTTAGCCTTAAAATTGCATTTTATGTACTGTAATCTAACATTAAAATTAGTCATCTGTTTGGTGTAAGTTTTCTGTGAAAACAGGTTTCTATATACATATTTTTGTGATTGTCCATCTAGACACCCTTTCAGTCGCAAGGATGGACTCCAGGGCCTGTGTACAGTAACCAAGCACTCCTTCCCTAGCTCCACCTGCTACCCAACTTCAAGTCTTTTCATGGTTATATATACTTTCTTGGCTTATTATAATGTTTAGAATTTAAAACCATGAAAATTCAGGAACAAAGGCCAAATAACCAGTACCATAATAAAGAATACAGATAGGTCGAGCAGTTTTAGAATCTTATGTTGATATAGGTAGTGAATGCATTTTAATCTATTGCCACAGTTCTTTGGGAACACACAAAAGCTGTCTTTAATGCTAATCATTGGGGACATTGAGGATGCAAAGTGCATGGAATAATCCATACTGAACTCTCACAAGAGCATAAGACAGTAATTAGCTTCCTTTACACATTAAAAAATACAATTGTTTGAATAGCTTGAGTGTAGGAGTTTTTGCCTAGGTATTGCTGTTACCAATGTCTAGAGTGTTTAAGTCCATGGTGATATTTATGCATACTATTAAAGTTCAGAATTGCTGGATATAGTGACTTGCACCTGCAGTCTCAACGACTCTGCAGGCTAAGCCAGGAGCATTTCTTGAGCCCAGGAGTTCTAGGCCAGCCTAGGCAAGGAGAGGAGAGGCTTGCTCGGTCACAGTATTAATTATTGGAAAAGCTAAGTGGGGAAAATTAACCTTTAAATCCCTGAGGAAAGTAGACATTCCTGGGACGTAGTAGTTAAACTGAGAGCCAGGGCTAACCGGCACTATGTCCCTGGGCTCTGTTTTCCTTCTTTAAATTAATCAGTCATACCCGGTGCAAGACTCATGAACTTGAACCTCAGCACCTGTCAGCCCGGATGCTGCTTTGTACACTGATCATGCTCCTTCATATCTGACACATAGATGGCACCCAATGCATACTTATTGAATGAATGATAAGTGAATGGGAAAACAGGTGTGGTGCTACCCTCCACATGCTGGTCTGATTTCTGGTGCCAGCCTGTTCCTTTGTGGGTGACAAGCAGTATGCAGGAAGGAACTCTTTGGGATTCAGGAGGAACTGGACTGGAGTCTTGGTTTGTCAGTCACTGTGCTGTGTGTATAATCTTGACTGTGTTGCCCAGTCTCCTTAAACCTCAACTTTGTCAGCTATAAAAGGACTTCTAAAGCCTTGTTACAGGATGGTTGGGGGATTTAAAAGTACATTTAATGACAGACATGACAAGTACCCATACTGTGTACTGTCACCCCTCGACAAACACAGGGTGTTGGTTACAGGACCGACACCATACCAAAATCCACAGATGACAGATGCTCACATTCTTAACAGAAAACAAAGTAGTAGATACATGGAACCTGCCTGTATTCTCCCACATATTTTTATGTTATTTCATATTTTTGTGGTGTTAGAAATGGAACCCAGAGCCAACATGTGCTAGGCTAGTAGTCCAGCACTAAGAAACACCCTCACTCCTCTCTCATATTTGAAATTATCTCTAGATTACCTATATAGCCTAATCCAATGCAAATAGTATGTGGTTAGTGGTTAGACTGTACTGGTACAAAATACCACAGGACAACCCTCGTGCTCAGTACAGACCCACCTGTGTGTGACTGAGCTGCCGAAGAACCCGCAGCTGGGGAAGGCAGCTGTGAGCCCCGACCCCATGCTTGCTCACCCCATAGCAAGGTAAAGGGGCTGCTGGCACAGCACACCTCATGACTGGGCAAGACCTGAGTAACATTTTCTAATGAGCAATGTCTGTTTGGTGATGAAAATATCTGTAGGTCCAAACAGAGCCACCTCAGAGACATTGCTGGACCTCATGGCTTTTTGTGGGTCAGGCTCTTTTGACTCCAGGTGCTGAGTCTGAAGGGTTAAAATGGTAACCCACAAAGCTAAGGCTTTACAAGCAGTGACAATAAGTAGTTCTGCTCTGAAACTTTTTGTACTTCACAGAACAGTAGAAGTTGGGTTTTTAAGGTCGTATGTTTGGCATCTTTTCTTTCTCGTCAGTCCTACCTTATTTCTCCCCCAGTTTCAAAGGAATTAAGACATTTTCTCTTTCCTTTATGCTCCGTTTGACATTCCGTTTTGATGTTACCTTCTGCTGTGACTCAGAATGTTTCCTTTAAAATAAGAATAATAATGTAGTGAGACCTGTCACTTCAGGGCAGGCTTCTATGCACTCTGTGCCAAACTTTTGGGATGAATAACTTCTGATGGCCATTGAGGTAAGGGTTTCTCTCATTGGGGGAATGCAGTCTCCAGAATAATGGTTTAATCCAGGTAGTATTTGGGTTCCGGTTTTTCACAAAGTACTGTAGTAAAATTTTTAATGAAAATAAAACATGATTTTTTTATTATCAATTAAAAATATTTGTCCCCTTTCCTTGTTAAAATTTCTGTAAGCGTTTTGGGTCATTCACAGTGCCACACTAAATAAAGGGACTCAGCATTGAAAATTAGCTTTTTCAATTACAGATCTAGGCATTTGACCAGAGCCCATGAGGAATCACTAGAGAAGCTTCCAGTCTGGGCTCTCCATGCCCATACATCCTGCCTCTCTGCTCAGCCTCCTGCAAGGCTGCTCTCGGAAAATGTACTGAAATTGTGTGTGCGTGCGTGTGTATGAGTGTGTGCGTGCGTGCGTGCGTGTGTGTGTGTGTGTGTGTGTGTGTGAGCACGCGCGCCCGTGCGATGCATTTTCTCTGAAAGTAAACTGTACATCACATTATGACGGTGACAACTGTGTCTGTCTCTGGAGCCTCCGAGGCCATCAGCCCAGTTCTTCACAATGTGCGTGTAGTGGTGCCTGCAACCACAGGGCTCGTGACTAGCAGGCTCCCACTTAAAATGAAACCTGGAATCCTGCTTCATACTTTACATCTTTTATAGCTTGTTTTTGACTATGAGGCAAGAAAATTAATTCTATTTTGTTTTTAATTGGCACCAGGCAAACATTCTGACTGGTTTTAGTTAAGTATAAACTTTAGCTACCCCTTTCCTCCACATTCCCTAGTACATTGAGAACTTCCATAGTTACGAGGTTGTTGAGGGAGGTAAATATTTTTCATGCAATTTATTTTTCTTTATCAAAGTGAAGCAAGTATCTCTCTCCCTAGACATTTGGAAAAATCCACATTAAAATGTTGGAGGCACGGTTTGAATTATGATCCAAAAGCTGGTCTGGGAAGACCTAGAAAATGTTGGGCACTGGCTAAAGATGAGCCTGTGCCCACACTGACGACGCCCTTCCTTCCATGGTGGAGATGAAGCACACTTTGTGTGGGTCTCATCTTCTCTCTCCTTGCATGCTGAAAGACAGGAATGAGCACAGGACTGGGGCCGTGTGACTCTGCTTCTCCCCGTTTTCCTGTATTTGTCACTTGCTGGGTTGCTAGGCCTGTGGATTGATGTCTAGCACTGCCCATTGTGTATTTGTGATTTGCGTTTTGTAATTAAGAGGAACAATGGGAGTCCATGGGGTCTCGTTATATATAATGGTTGGTTTAATTTGTTTCACTTCTATCTTGTTAATTGTAAATTGATCATTAAGATTTGAATTCTAATCTGTCACCAGGGTTGTGAGTATTGAGGCTAGAGTAATGATCCTGGTTTTAATCACTGATGATGAGAAACAAATTTTATAATTTTGGTACATATTGCAGTTCATATATTTTAACACTGTATTTTATGGAGTTATAAATATTGTTAAATGACTTTTAGTGTAGTTTTACTATGTGGACTATAATGTATAAATTATATTACTGTTTTGGCAGCAGTAGGTATCCAACTGTGTGAGTTTAATTGAAGTAAAAGAACACACACCCGGTTGAACTATTTTTTTTCCTCCTTGCATGTTTAGATGATGTTAGGTTGGGCTGCTACAAAAATTGTATTCTACAAAAGGAGACTGATACTGACCTTCTGTTAATTGTTACCAAAAGTCAAAGCAGAATCCAAAAGAATAAAAAAATGAAGGTGTCATATTTTTCCTTTAAAAGCAATTATCATTATAATCTGAATTATAGTAGTAAAATGTCTTCCATTCATGCAAATGCAATTACACGCTATAGCTGCTACATAAAATGCAGGGAAAGTTCATGCTTCTGAAAAGCCAGAAATTGCCTACATTTCTGTGAAAATGAATTAGAGTCATTTTCCTTTGATATGGGAGTAGGGTAAATGTGGCTTTCTGTTTTCTCTCTTTGCTTTGCAAGCCACTAGTTGTGTGACTATATTGTCAGCTCTGCCCAAATAAAGAACGATGTATGTACACATATAGCGAAGCTGTATTGTATGACAGAAGCTGGTAGGCAAGTTGCCATTATAAATAAAGTGGGAAAAAAACAAAGTATATAAGGCAGGAAAGATTGTTACAATAGCACATATTATAGTAGTCTATACTTTAAAAATACCATATTTTTGTGTTTACTGAAGACATCTCATTATAGGGAATCACAAAGAAAAATTAAGGAAACATTGCTATCTCAAGAAAATCCCTGCTATTTTTTCATGCACCTCATCATTTTTCATGGATATGTAAATGTGTCATGTACAGCAGCTTATGTCATGATAGGTTCATGCAGTGTATGCAGTTTTACAGATGCTTTCTACCTATCTCATTAATGAGCATGTTTCTCTGTCAGTGAATAATCCACAAACAAAATTGTAATCAAACCACTTGTTCCTGTTCATTAAATGTTTATGACATTTCAACTTTTAACTATAGAAGTAATAGTATAACTATAACATAATTAAAATTTGATGATCCTTTTAAAAGGGAATTGTTGCTTCAAAAGCCAGACACACTTTTCAAGGCTGCTAATGTGTATTATTTTGCTTAAGTGTTGAATTAACCTCTTCTCAGTAGAAATGTGCCTAAATAAATGTGTGACTGCAAATAGAGAAGGGTTCATAGAAGAGGGATGAGCGTGAGCATTGCACTGTGGGTAGAATTCTCCTTCAGAGCTGGGCACATAGATAAGAGACGCCATGCAGGACTGGCCACTCCCCATTGCTGACATTAGACAGCTAGTTAAGTTGCATATTTCCCTCACAGAGAAAGGAAATTAACAATTGCTTCCTAGAGTATTTGAGATCTTCAAAAGATGGATTTGAGACAGAGTAGGGATGAAATACATATTTGACGGTAATATCAAATCTTATTATTCATTTCTGAAAATAGTAGTAAAGTTGACCATTTCATGCTACCTTCTAGAGAAATTGTCCATATTTCCTCTTTTTTTATAACTTTGTTGGTTGCAGCACTTTAATGGTACTTTTAACCCTCATCTGATTTTCATGAGTATTTTTGTAGTGTTTTATGTTTTTTTAATTACTAAATTTTTTAAGGGTAGTTTAGGCTCCCCCAATAAAATCAAACAGCAAGTGCATAGGCCTGAGAATACATATCCTCACCAGAACCCTTCCCTCCTTCTCCCTCTTCTCCCCTTCCCCCTCCCCCCTCAATCCTGACTTTCACCAGAAGCACTATCCATTTTAAAACTTGATAAAATACAGAAAAAATGGTCAAACACAAGGGAAAGGATTGTACCATCCAGAAATTGTTAGCATTAATATTTGGTGCATGGCCAAATAATTGTAAAATGGAATTGCATTATACATGCTGTTTTCCTGTTCTTATCAAAATATTACATTTTACGTCAATAAGTAACTTGTAACATATAAGCAAGATAGCCAATGTTCTATTGATAGAATTCTGGATAAAGTTTCCATGTATTGGGTCATAGACCAAAATTCTCTCTATAAGTAGTGCTACAATGGATATAAGCATAAACATGTGGCTTTCCATATGCTTTTTTATACATGAACATTTTATATTTTGATTGTCTATTTTTTCCATTGTGTTTTTCTTTGAAAATGGCACCTCTCTTGGAAGCAGTCTGAGGATATAGGTATGGGTTCTTTTCCATGGATTTTATTATTTTCCTAATCTGGTTTAAGGACTTTTTCCATTTGGAATGAATTTCAATATATGACAGGAGATACTAGTTTGGGAAGAAATACTAAATTCAGATATTATTATAGATTGTAGGTTACTTTTTGTATTATATGTGATTTTGAATGGATAGATATGAGTCATTTATCTGGGGATATAGACTGTTTCAAATGTGGGCGTGTTCTTAGTGGGAGAGGCAAATGCAGTGGGAGTAACTAGCTGAGCTTAAAAAGGAGATGAGCTATACGTACTCTGCCTTTCTTGAAAATTGGTGGGAAGGGTGAGATGTAGGGCATGGTTCAGAAGGGCAAACTCTAAGGAAATATCTGGGTGAACAGAGGTGGTTTGAAAGCCATGCTGAGTTGTGGATGGTGAAGATACTGATGTGAGCAGGCTCTGTTTAGTATGCACTTGAGTAAAGATGAAAACTGACATTGCCCCACCCCTGCCAGCATGGTGGTCTTTGGGTTGAACATTCTGTGGGATAAGATCTCCCCTGGCAAGCCCAAGGTCTTCTTGACTAGAACAAAAGGCAGCCTTGCATAATAAAGCAATCCTTTCTGGGGAGGCAACTAATTTCTCATGAAAAGTGTTTTTGATTAACTTTAAAAAATTACTATAATGTAGAGAAATTTGAAGTGTGACTTCTCTAACTGAGGAGACAGTAGTCATGAGGACGTGGTGTCAATGCAAGCAGTTGAGTTTGAAAAAGGACACAACTTTCCTTAGATAGCTTTCTGATCTGCAAATGTTAGAGTTGGGATTGTCATCCAAGACTGGATATAGACTATGTCCTGAAACTGTCACCATGGAGATTTTGGTCTCAGTGCAGGCCATCCTCCATCCCTGTTACATCAGTCTAGGAGCAGGGTAGAAAGGGAATAAAGACGTTACTTTCAGAATATGGAAGGGCCAGTTACCCCTTTGCAACTAGAGCTCTCTGCTTGATCTCTCAGATCTCTGCAGTACTGTAACTGGGATCCCTATGATGTACATATTCCTCTACTAGGCATTGTGGATATCTGAAATATTTTCTTTGATATAAACTAATTCTCCCTTCACTATTCTGCCTTAAGTCCGGGGCTTAAGAGAGTGCCGAGGTCTGTTTATACAATGAAAATACATTCTAGTAAGGTGACTCTTTACCATCTACTATTTCTGTGTTTCTACCCTCTCTAGGTCAGAAATAGTTCGACTGAGTGAAGAGAAAAGATATATGTGTGACAAGCTGGAGAAGATGCAGAAGAGAAATGATGAACTGGAGGAGCAGTGCATCCAGCATGGGAGAGTGCATGAGACGATGAGAGAAAGGTAATGAGTGTCTGCTGACCCACGATGGGCCAGTTGCACACCAAGTGTGTCAGAGTCACAGGCAGGACAGTTCCTGTGGAAGAAGTAGACGGTTAGGTTTGTTAAGCTAACCAGGTGTTAGCCTGGCTGAGCAAGTCTGCCAGCATGTCTGGACTCTGTGTCGTTACCTACATGCTGTTGCTGATGATGCTGTCATCACAAGATGGAGTCATCCACTGGCTTACATTAGCCTCCTAATAGGTACCATCCGTGGTAACCACTCTCTTCTCTAGAGACAGAAACTCAGTTCACAGGGAGTCACAGATGGAACACATGGTAGAGGTCAAACTCAAATCTTGAGTGATTGATTCCAAATTCCTTTCCCCTTTTGTGTAGTATTTGGTTGATGTTTTATTTGTTGTGATAAGTATAACCCCTTGTATGAATATGCCATTTTTAAACTCTGGTCATAGAGTTCCCCCAAGGATAAAAATCTATGCATTTTGTAGCAACCATGAGTAGATTTCTGTAGACTTGGACTTGTGTACTGAACAGCTACCAGCTTTCTCATAGAGATGGCTTCATGGCTTCCATCCTACAGATACCAGTACATTCTCTGTTCCTATTGATGTAATTAGGGGAAAGTGGAAATGTGTAAGGTAAACAGCATTGGGGAAGACAGTGGCGCCTATATGTTGATACCTTGATGACTTGCTGTAAGTAGAGGGGGGACAGCACTGCCTTCACCTAACAGCATGTTACAGTACAGGTAGCCCTGCAAGGAATTAGTCATTCATTCTTTAACTCACAGGATATTTGCTTAAACCCAGATACTGTTCTATGTCAGAGGCCAGGAAACATTAGGGTTTTTTTTTGTAAGGACCCAGGTTTAGCTTTTACAAAGTGTGTGTGTGTGTGTGTGTGTGTGTGTGTGTGTGTCACACAGGCATATTGCTTTTTAATTTATAAAATGCACTTATGTTCTCTGTTTGATGTGCCTTGAGGCAGACCTGGAAAGGAGCTGCTATTGTCACTTTATTTCCAGATGGAAAACTAAGGCCTGGAGAGGGAAACATGCCAACTGGAGGTCGGAGAGCAAATGAATAATTGGTCTCTTCAGGAAATATTTATTGATTACTACTATGTGTCATGTACTATGAGGTATCCATCACATGCTGAGAACGAAGCGGCAAAGTAGATATGGCGCTCCCTCTGGTGGAACTTGCATGTTTTTAGGGAAACTGAACTTGGAGCTAGGTCTAGGCTGGAGGTAGAAATTTCCCTTGGCTAGTGGAGAATATTTGAAACCTTTAGGGATAAATGTGTCATCAGCATGAAGTAGTAAGAAGGAAGGAAGGGCCACTGACCCTCAAGAGCAGCCACACTTTCAAAGATTAGGTGAAAATCCCACAGAAGATGTTGCCACGAAGCAACCTGAGCAACACATGAAAAGGACTGTTATTCAATCCGTTGATAAAACTGCCTTGGGAAAGAGGAATTACTCAAGCAGATGCTAGCCACACAGTAAGACAGAACACATCTGTTGGCCTTGGTAATGTGCGCATCACCCGATAAGCCAGCAGGAGCAATTTTGGATGGAGAATAGGTGTAGACAGTAGATTAAAGTGGGTTGAAAGTTAGAGTGATTTGAAATTCTTAACTAGCCATTTACCAGTTTGTCATGAGGTGAGACATAAGAAAATGCAGAAAGCAAGACCAGCCAGCTTATAGTGGGTGTGTACATTTTAGAGCGAAGAAGTTTTTGTCTTAAGCTGGAGTAGATATAAATGCATTGAGTATTATTATTGTAAAAATCAACAAAGTTTCAGTGAACAAGAAAGAAAATTAGATTTTTCTCTTGGGTGAACATAATCTTGGAACTCCATGTTAAAATAATGACTGTTTTCTTCAGTTTTAAAATGAGCACCTAGTCACATGTCCTCCTAGAAAAATAAGCAGTATGCAAGCCCCTCAGTTTGCAGAAGGTTCAGGCAGTCAGAAGAGTTCTGCTCAATGCTCTGCTCTCTCTCATGGACCACACACAGTCTCCAGCCCCGCAGTCCTGGCTGTGCTGGCGGTGGGACTATCCTGTGCCACTGTCCTCCTGGATAAGTGAGCAGTTCATCTGAGCAGTGTGCATAAGGCCACTGAAGCTTCTGACTGAAATATGCAAGCTAATGATGAATTTAAACTTGGTAATTCTGTAAGCCAAGGGATCATCTTTGAAATCCCCACATTGTGTTTTGATAATGGAAAGTTTATTCAAAAGCCACTGTTCAAAATAGAAAATATAATGTTGGACTTTATATAATGCAACAATTTGATTTTGTAGAATTAAAACTATTCAATTTTCCAAGAAATACTTAGAATCTAAACCTGAAATTATAATCTGTATTCCATCATTGTTTAGAAAAGAAGAGGGATGATATAAATGTATCAGATTATACATTCAGAAAACAAGAATTCCAAAAAAAAGCGGCTATTTTAATTTGTTTGATTCTATACTATGAATGTAGTTTCAATTTGACATGTTAGGGTATATTTTGGTCCTAAAATGTAATTATGTTATTGACTAATCATGCCTTTTTATGTAATTAATACATTAGGTATTTTCTACATAAGAAATAGTGACAATATTTATGAAATAGGAAATTTTAACATAAATATTCACATTTATGACTATTTTAAATGAAATGTTTTTACTTGAAAGTTCCCTGCTTGTGATATCATGACATAATAAAGGAATGCTTTAGCAATCCCTAGGAGAATTCTAAAGTTGTGTTTCTACGAAAAGGGTTTGAAAATCTAGAGAAATCTGAGGATGCTGAGTTAGGAAAAGAGGCAACTTTGTGAAGATTTTGAGGATATAAAGTTATCAAAACACCAAACATTAATTGGGGGTTAATCTTGAACTATGGGAGCCTCCTCCCCAACCCTACAACTGCAGGACAGCCTGGTGGTTTTACTGCTGTGGTGAAAGTGAGGTGGGCTGAGGCCAAATCTGTTTATTCTGTGCTTAGTGGGGATCTCATCCATCCTTTACTTTGTTCATCGAGGGACTCAGGAGTGTGATGAGCCTACTGTGCTCATTGCCATGGTTATAGAGCATCCTCTGTGCTTGAACTGGGGGCTAGCCAGCTCTCGTCACTCTAACAAGTGCCTAAGACAATCACTTTATAAGAAGAAATGGAATATTATTGGCTCAAAGTGTTAAAGATTTCTGTCCAAAATCAGTTGACCCTGTTGCTTCAGGCCTGTGGTGATGCAGTGTTATTGAGAGTGCTTGACAGAGAAAGCTACTTATCCCACGGTGGACCTTCCCAGTAAACTTTCCATCCTTGTGACACGATTCCCAGAACACAACCTTGAAGGAGAAAAGCTTATTTTGGGTTATGATTTTAGAAGCTTCAGAGTGTCTTTGGCTGGTCCCATTGCTTTGGGGACGGAGGTAAATCCAAATAGCATGAGAGAGAGAGAGAGAGGGTGGCTGAGCAGAGATGTTCTTTATTTGAGGGTCAAAGAACAGGGAAGGCCAAAACCAGAAGCAAAATTTAGCTTTCAAAGACCTACTCCTCAGTAGCCTACTCCCTGTAAAGAGGCCCCACCCCCAAGGAGCCTGGTAAGCTATGGACTAATCCATTGATTATGTTTGCCATCTTACCATCCTGCCACCTCCCAATGGCACCACCAACTAGTCGTCAAGCCTTCCACACATGAGATCTGAGAACCTTTCATATCTAAATTACAACAATGAAGAACAGGAGATAGGAAGGAAAGGGAGGCTGGGGATCCACTGTCTTCTTCATGGGCATGCCTCATGTGACCTGAAGACCTCCCAGGAGACCCCATTTCAAGGAGTGTCAATCTGAGAATTAAAAGTTTTAACACATACCCAAGCAGAATAGCTAGTTGAGGCACTGTGAGTCCACAATGCTCCATAGCCATGGCACAACTCACTGTCTCCTGTGAGGTCACTCGGGGCTGCTCCAAGGCCTCACAAACCAGGGAGGAGGTGAAATGGTTCCCCAGAGGACTGGTCTCCATTGGCCACCTGTGAAGGACACTCTGCTCTCTGTGATTTATATAAACCAAAAGTCTTAATGTTAAGTTTGAGGCACGAGGTTTACTATATGCCCCTATACCCGAGATACTTTCTTGAATTAGGCATTCTAATTTAGAGGAATCATCACAAGTGCACCTCACTGGGTGGTGATGAGCAGACCAAAGCTCTAGGTTTTTCTCATCAGTTCTTACATTCACTCTGAAAGACTTGTAAGTAAGTGTTTTAAAGAGACTGAGAATTGTTTTTTTGTAAGCTAAACCAAGTTACTGAGAATGTGACTTTGACTCTACAGACCTCCAGCATTACAGCACAAGCTCTGCTCATTTGACTTCCTGTCATCCTGGGAAGGGCATTTAGGGTACTATTCATGATCAAGGTTTGTGCTGAGATCATGTTGGTTTTCATGTTTCTGTTATTGCATTTAATTAAAGACTTAGCCTTATTATAATAGTTGTTTGCTTTGGGTTGTTTTATTAACCCATTGAAGTAAAGCAATGCACACTTGACCTTCTCAGTCACTACATTTCGGTGCTGAGGAGATGGCTGAAAGCACTACAATTCAAGGGTGAGAACCTGAATTTGAATCCTTGAAATCCACGTAAAAGTCTGACAGTGTGAGCATCACAGGGGTCCTGTCATGGGAAGATGGGGACAGAGACAGAAGCCTTGGAAGCTCTTAGCTGACTAATCTAGAGCAGTGTCAAACACGAGAGCTCTTTGTGCCCAATACAAGGTGTCCTCTGACCTTCATATATACACCACACATGAATGTCCTATTCACACATGTGAATGTGCCTGCACACACACACCCACACACACACATACACACACACACTATGTGTGAGTTGTAATTAAGAAGCATATCATCTCTCTAATCTCTTGCTGAAGCAGATGGATGTATGATCCTTTGCCTCCTACCCTGTCACCACCAGTTTTCCATAGAGAAGGCCTCCCTGGCTATGCTGTTTGCAACTCTGTTTTTATAACTGACAGCATATTAGGAAATGTGAATTTTCAAGATGTCTGGGTTATGTTAGATTTATATACCTTTATATTAGAGTATGCAGTGATGTTCTTTTTATGAAGAAAATGGTGATTCATATCATGTTAAACATTGTTTTTTCACTAGTTTATTTTGCAGTTTTGCACTGGTCACAGGTTTGTGTGAATTAGATCTCTGCCTAAGTTATGGAGTCCAAGAACAAGAAGCCAAGAATGTTGTATAGGAAAGGAGGGAGCTGTGATAATTAGAACTGCTTAGAAAGTTCCTTTTCCTAAAATTGCTCCAAAATTGTAAGTCAGTTGTGGTTCATAACAATCTATCTATAATGCATTGTTCTTTGCAGCGCTAAAATCTGCCTGAGAGGTCAAGGAGCCATGTTTGACTTGAAATAAGATTGTTGCCTCCCTATAGACTGGAGGCTCTACCTCTCAGGAGTTAAGATTTTATTTTGAGTTAATGAATTATTTGAAACAGTCTGTGCAGTTACATTCATGGAACAGGGCAGATGCTATATTAGCTGACCACCTGGGAGTAGATGAAACGTGAAAGGAACCCAACAAAAGAAACTTAGGAAATACCAAAGGCATAATTATAACATTATACTTTTGGCTGCAGTAAGCCCAACACGCAGCAAAGGAGAAAGACTGCCTTTCATTTAATCACCAGGCATTTCTTGCGTGCTTAGTTTTGTTAGTCTGCCTTCTGTCACATAACAAAATGCCTAAAGCAGCTAATTTATTAAAAGAAAAGGCTCATTTTGGATCTCAGTTGTGGAGGTTCTAGTCCATGATGAATGTGGCCTCTTGCTTGTTGGGCAGGAGCTAATTGCAGAGCAAATGCACTTACACCATATCTAGAAGCAGGAAGGAGGAAGAGAAGGGGCCTGGAATACCACAATACGCTTTAAGAACACACCAGACCCCAGTGATTTCCCATCTCCTAAAGGTTCCACCACATCCCAATAGTGCCACCCTAGAGATCAAACTTTAGTCACATGGGGCAATGGCAGCATTTAATATCTGAACTGTAGTATTATAAGATATACTTGAATGCATCACTGATTATCACACATCCATGCCCTAGTGAGATGTATAATCACGTAAGCTCCTTCTGGGTTGAGTCCTGGGCTCTTAAGGCCTAATAGTGAGAAGGTATGTGTTTGTAGGTAAGAGCTCTGGGTTTCTCTCCCTTTAATGTCTAGCCTCGTAGTCATAGCAAGCTCTTTCTTCAAGTTTCATCTCCCTCACTTTCTTCTGTAAAGTGCTACCTTGTAAGGTTGTGAAAATTGCTTAACACGATCAATAAAGTCTGTAGAGCCATGATCAGCATGGAGTGTACCCCATATCCCATATTCAACACACTCGTTAGACCTCCAATATACACCAGCCTCTCTGCTGTGGATTCTGGGGAGTAACTGGAACTGCAGGGGCTTCCATTCTAGATCATTGTTTATTTACATTATGGGTTAAATTGGTTCTTGTGATTTAGGCTGTGAACCAAAATACCATGTTTACATAATGTTATTTCTATGGGAAAATGCCTTCTGAATTTTCAGTGTAACTTTTGATTTTGAGCATTTTGCACTGCAACTTGGAATATAGCTGTGATATTGTGTTAGTATGTGAATGTGAGTGCATATTCTGTGTGCTCAGTGTGTAGGCTTTCGGCATGAGCCAGTATAAGCTTACAGACCTGCTCCAAGTCAAACTTCAAGTAGGTTATATTTACCTAGTTGTTTTCAAAAATCACATTTTGAGTATAGTCGGAAATTAGGAGTACTCCTTTTTTTCTTGAAAGACTGTATTTTGGAGAAATTTTAGGATCACAAAAAAAAATCAAGAGGTTTACTGTACACCGGTCCTCCAGCATGCATAGTCTCTCCTATTGTCACCATCTCCCCCAAAAGTGTTGCTGTCCTCACAGCTAATAAACCTTCATCAGCATGATCGACAAAACCCATTGTTTACATTAGCGTCAACCTTAATTCTGTATTTTATTAAAACTATGTGTTTCTTATTCAGGTGGGAGTGTCATGGTACTTGAGTTCTCTCCTACCCTGAGGATCAGCTCACCCATCAGACCTTGTGGCAAGCACCTTCATTCACCCGCCCATTTCCCTGGCTCCATCTTTAGTTTTGTGTACTCTGCCCGAGGCATCTGTCTTTCACTACATGGTTGCACAGTGTTGTCAATGCTCTATATGTTCCCTGTGCTTGGCCTAGTCATGTCTCATTCGTCCCAGGTTCTGAGCAGGTAAATATCTGTTCTTCTGTTGCGGGGGGAAAGTGCATTTCTGTATTTGAAATGGGATCTCTCCCCATAGCTAATATAAAGCCCCTTGCTTTGGTGCGTAGACTACCTTCAGCTCCATCTTTGCGAAGCTTGCAGAGGCAACTCTTGAAAGCCTTTTCTCTCTAGTTACCTTTTAGGAAGGTTGATACACTCTGATTAGATATTTTGCTATCCTAAATGTAGCACTTTTCAGCTAAACAGGGTTTATTCATCATTCTTGCAGTCGGATTTTCTGTTTTGCCTAATACTTTCTGTAATTTTAACCATTAGATGTTAAATGTCAACACCTTCCTCTGATTCCCTGGCTTGAGCTCTCTTTTCTGTCTTCTAGTTTATTAGTATAGTGTCTCCACACTAATTAGCATTTCTTTAGCTTTCCTCACAAAAGCAAAAGTGCA